GTATTCTGAAGAAGGCTCGAAGTACCAAGTCGAAAGCTCAATAAAAGTATATTTTAATCCGGAGAACTTTAATTAATTATAATATGCTTGGATTACAAATCTTTGAACATATATATATATATATATATATATATATATATATATATATATATATATATATATATATATATATATATATATATATATACACTGGATCGAGAAAAGTTTGACCTTCGAATATATATATATGTCGGCCATTTTTGAATTTTCTTGGGTTAATTATACGCGAACGCATACATCAAATGTCGCTCGCAACGTATTGTATATTGCAATATTATTCCAACAGCTCAAATGAATAAAAGAATCATTGATTGATGTTTTTGCACATAATCATAATGGCTAGTAGGAAATGAACCGAATGCTGCGCGTGCTGAGTTTCAGGGGATGAAATATCGAATGACTATCGATTCCGTTAAAATTTCCGTTGGCAAAATATAATAATTCTGGACGTAGGTTACAGCTATAAAATAAGCACAAGTGAATACGAAAGAATAAACAAAGAAATTCATCGAGGCATGCTAATAAGCGTCTAAATCTCTAAGGATGCAAAAGAATAAATTACGACATGCCAAAATTAAAGATCAGGTTCCAAATTGTGACAAGAGTTAATTAGCTAACAAGCCTCAAATGTTCATTAGATAGCTACGACAAATATGTGTAAGAACTTCAAGCAATGATCCTTTACTTATTTGAGCTGTTGGAATATTGCAATTTACAGTACGTTGCGAGCGACATTTGATGTATGCGTTCGCGTATAATTAACCCAAGAAAATTCAAAATGGCCGACATATGTATATATTCGAAGGTCAAACTTTTCTGGATCCAGTGTATATATATATATATATATATATATATATATATATATATATATATATATATATATATATATATATATATATATATATATTGTAATCATTTGCAGAAAATTTGGAACCCTAAACCCAGGCTCCCAGAGAGAACAAAAACATTTTCCAGGGTTCAAGATTTGAATTTCTTACTAACTAGTATCCAAGTGGATACTAGCACCTTAAATTTGCATAGTAGGTATTCCAGATGACTAGCAGCATCCAAACAAGGTAAACTGTCTGCTGTAAATTGTCTGCTGTAATGTTTCAGCTGTTTGTAGTGGCCCTAGTTTATCATGGCTAATTTGTATTAGAGAAACCAAAGGACAAACCTATAATAGTTGCTGGGCCAAAACCTCAGTGACCAAAAATACACAGAATAAGAACCAAAGTGCCAATACAAGCTAGCTTGTCCAACATTTTGCCACAATGAACAGACTTCAGAGTTTGGATTGCAAATTCAAAATTTTTATAGCATCCTGTGGGGATACTACATTAAGCCTATCAGGCCTCCAATTTCCCTGAGATCAATCGACGACAATGGCGTTAAAAATTGCCGTAGAATGTAACAGCTGTCTACAGCAATTTTGGCAGTTTCCATGGCATTTTTCAAATTACTGTACATAATAAAACTTTCATTTTATTGTTACTTTGGATTTTTGACAAGCTAGAAACATGTCTACGTATTTCTTTAGTGTTTTTTTTTCGAAGAAAACTGAGACTAAAATAGTGATTTACGCATGATTTCGTCAACATCTGAATTCAAGTATCAAAGTAGTAATGCACAGTGAATAGTATAAAAATTGCACTATACGGCAAAAAATTGCTATCGTTACCGCAATGATCCACAGCATTTTGTTCGCCCTCTACGGCAATTGCTGCGATTGCCGCGATAAAATTCGAGCCCTGAAGCCTATGATTTCCAATATCGAAAATTGAAATCTTAAACAGTGCATATGCATCGATTACAGCAGTTTGGATCCACTGCTGTGTGAAATTACCATGAAATCAAATATCATAATCACTATTAACCCATTAAGTTGCATTGCATCTCAATGGCCCTACTTTAATCTGTCTAACACTAGAAGATTTCACATTTTCATGTGTCAATGGGAGAGCGCTGGTGTTCAATAGGCTACCCAGATTACCCGCCAATGTGTCTACTGTAGGTAACCGTCAATTTTAATCACGCCCTAATGCGCCCGACTTGATTATTTTACTCTGTTTAATGCCAGACAATTTTACTTGTCAAGGCAAGAGCACTGGATGGATGATTAAATTAAATATTCAAAAATGCCTCTCATTAAGAATTCATGCAAAATTCACAAATATCATTGTCATAAAACAGGAAATAGAATCCCAAACAAACCTGAACTATTATGCATCATGTCCAGAAATGGCAAGAATTTATGCATTCAACTGGAAATTTTGACGAAACTAACATATTCAGCAAAATTATTTGTTAAACATGCGTTAAATACGTATTATATTTCGAAATAACTTCGTTAATAATACAGTGCATTTTGATATACGTTCAATACTTCGTCAAAAAGCCCAGACGATACAAGTTTTCCCATGAATTAAATAACAAAAGGCCTTCAACAGCAGACAAACGCTTCAAGAAGTCTGTGATTATTGAAAATTGTCTACTTCCTAGTAGTAGAAAATTCGAGAGAAAATTGACTGTGTACAAACTCGAACAGCATGAGATTGGGTCATCAAGTCATCAAGTATCAGGCATAATTTCCCAGCTGTTTATGCGGGCGATCGCCGCGAATATGTCACAGCCGATAAGCGAAAGCATTGAACACGAAACAGAAGAATATTTCACTTACGTTCTGTAGCTTTTATCAACGATTTGCATTCTCTAATGAGCGATTTTATAGCATCGTTCGCCCGATCCAATTCTCGTTCATGTTCATGTATGTTCTCGCGAAAGTACGGACTGTCCAGCAGTGCTTCCGAAAATTCCAGAGGTTTCAAGCCCATGATTTCGCTGCTTCTTGGATACTAAGGTACGGTGGTCGCAGTGTTTTATAAAAAGGAAGCAAGTCGCATCGTAAAGAGTATATGTTCACAGGTTGATTTGTGACCTTTTGCCGTCGAGTCTACAGAATTTAATACTTGTTCGCCAGTTCGGAAGAGGAACTGCATCGAGAACCGAACAACTTCCGAACCACCGCCCGAACATTTCCCGACAAATTCCGGAAACCACTTTTAAAATGGCCGGGAACGGCGGGGAATTAATTTGGAAGTGGGGCAGGGAAATTGGGGCACGCCACAACAGTGAAGTGGGAGAACCACAGAAGTCAGGGGCGGCGAAAAAATTCCTGGAGGTGCCCAAGCAATTTTACGCGTCGCCAGTTCGAATAAAGTTTGTCTATTATGTCATTTATGTGAAAATAGGGGGATCCGGGAGGGGGTGGGGGATTTTAAATTCTAGAAGTGCCATTTTCAGAATTTCAACATTTTGGGGGCTATTTTAAGGTTGTCTGGAAAACACGTGCACGTACACGCGTACACGTACACGCGTACATGGAAAACGCGTACATGGAAAACGCGTACATGGAAAACGCGTACATGGAAATCGCGTACATGGAAAACGCGTACATGGAAAACGCGTACATGGAAAACGCGTACATGGAAAACGCGTACATGGAAAACGCGTACATGGAAAACGCGTACATGGAAAACGCGTACATGGAAAACGCGTACATGGAAAACGCGTACATGGAAAACGCGTACATGGAAAACGCGTACATGAAAAACGCGTACAATGTTCATTTGTAACGTTAATTAATTAAAACTTGGCGATTTTATTGAAAGTTCTCTTGCAGACCTAGTGATTGTGTCAATGATGTCTTATGTTTTTCGGTTACATTTGTTTTGTCTTTATGATTATAGTAAACTTGGATCTCAGTTTGCATGTTGGTTAGATCCAAGTTTAATTACTAATCATAAAGACAAAACAAATGTAACCGAAAAACATAACGCCATTTACATATTTACTTGCAAAAAATTCAAAAATTGCCCCGACAAGTATGCGTAAACGACAGAAGTACGCACGGATTCTGAAAGCCTGGAATCCAGTGATCAATATGGTACCAAAATGTTAAAATTTGGCTACCTCCTCCGCAGGCGCTTAGGGAGCATTTCGGGCAGGTTCGGAAAATGCGGGTCACAGGCGAGAGCCCAGAAGATAAAAGACGTCATGTCGCGGATGGTGGGATGTGGATGAACAGCAGATCTTGGTGCACTTTAAACTTAAATAATATTTCTCTGTATTTTCTGCGTTCTCGTATAAATATGACGCCGGTCGTATATCGATTTCTTTCTTTATTTGCCGTATTTCCATTTGATATTTTTGTCAGAAAGTCCAGAATTAATCCAGCTTACGTGAGAAATTAATTTGAACTAATGATGGACGAAATTTCAAAGAGATTTTTTTGGATTCCCGATTCCTCTGTATTTTCTGCATTCTCGTCCAAATATGACGCCGGTCGTATATCGATTTCTTTCTTTATTTGCCGTATTTCCATTTGATTTTTTGTCAGCAAGTCCAGAATTAACCCAGCTTACGTGATAAATTAATTTGAACTAATGATGGACGAAATTTCAAAGAGATTTTTTTGGATTCCCGATTTTCGACACATATTCCCGATTTTCGACACATTATATGGCAGGCCCTTCGCGCTTCGCTTCAAGTTCTAAAAGAGGCCCGCAAAAATTTGCACCGCCCGCAAATGTGCCCGGAAAAAGGGCCTGCGGAGGAGGTAGAAAATTTGGCGTAATATTTCCTGTGTCATTTCGGCGATTTGTGTTAGCAATGTTTTGGTCGACAGGGCTAATATCTAGTTATTTATGGCTCGGATTACTCTTCTGGCGTTTACCGATGTAGTAAGCGACGATGAATTTGGCGAAGAAGGCTCGTGGGAAAGCAATTCGAATAAAGAAGACCTTCCTAATTAATTTTAACATTACTATGGATAAGTAATAAGTATGTATTATATCTTTATATGACATTATATAGCATGTATATTCCCGAAAAATCGTCGCGCGACGCAGCTGTAAGCGACGTTTATAATGATTCACAATATCGCGTCAATTAATACATAAAATAGAGCAGTATATAAGTCAACAGGCAGATAAGTAATGTATTTTGTGCAGTGTAATATGTTTGTAGTG